GAGCCAGTGCCTCCCCTGCAGACGCACCTGCGACTGGCATCTGGGGTCCAAGTTCCAGGTCACCGATGTCCCCTCCCTGCTCCCTCATGCGGCTGACATCAGCCCTGGATTTCCTGCTGATCTGGGCTCCCTCAGGCTGGAGCCATTGGCCGCTGTGGAGCTAAATGTGTTATCATTTTCACCACAAATTAACAGTTTCTATGTAAATATTGGTATTTCCTCACCCCATAGAGGCCGGAGGAGGCAAAATGGGACCAGCGCAAAAGTTTGATTTAAACTAATTAAAAGCAGAGGGTTGTGCAACTCAATATATTGATTTTACCAGTGGGACTTAAATCTTTTATAATAAGTGTACACAGCTGTGGGCCTTTCCCGCACCACTCGGGGGCTAATCCCGCATTCCTCCTGACAGTAACCTGACGGGTCCCACACATCCCTGCCCGCACCATCACCCCAGCGACACTGCCAGAGAACACCGAGGCCGAGCTGGGCAGGGCCTTGCAGAACACCAGTGCGTCAACGTGTGGCCACCCCTAAGTCTCAGCAGCGCAGGAAAGGAAAAACGCCCATAGCCAGCAGCTCAGGGTCAGGGGCCCTCTGTCCACAGCTCCACGCATGGGCAGGCGGGGGCCGGGCGGAGGCAGGGCAGCGTTGGGACACTCAGACTCTTGCATTGGGCCAAATATGACCTTACTGCACAGGGGCGGGTAAGATATTAAGGCGATACGGGTGATCAATCAACCGAGATGGGCTCTCCCTAGAATGAAGTCATCACTGGTCTCCGCACGCAGTGGACATGTGATATGCGCTCATATCACAGGTATGCCGGTGGTCAGAGATCGTCCAGCAGCTGTGTTTATCTGGGCAAAGGCTCAAGAGCCGTGGAGGTAAGGCCCAGATCTCAGAAGCGCTTTCTTCTGACCATACACTCAAAAAATAAAAATAATAATAATAATAAAAACCACCATCTCTGGCTGCTCCCAAAGCAGCTTTTATCCGGGCCGCTTCCCTCACCCCTTGGATGGGGAGGCACCGTCACCAAAGGACAAACGACGCCGGCCTCGCAGCCAATGGACCTGGCATCCCGGGTTCCTCCATTCCAGAGGGGAAACACACTGTATAGATGATCCCAAAAGTTCAAATGGGGGTCACATATATCCTTGGGAAAAGGGGAGGCGGGGCGATCTTTGATTTATAGAAGCAGGAAAATGAGGTTTAAAAGAAGTGATCTTGAAAGGGTTACTAAAAACACAGCTGTTGGTACACTCCTAGCGCAGAGGCGCTGTGCAGAGACGAGCGCAGGCGAGGGGGAAGCCTGTGTGTGACATCTATATTAACCTCTGGCTGCTCACCAGTGCGGCCGTGCGCAGCGCTGGAATGTGGACAGCCCCTTCCAAATTATAACACAAGCCAGGTTACGCGCAGATGCCTGCAGCCGGCTCGGCGAGCACTCCACTCCCCGAAGGACATTTTTAAACTGTAACAGAATCTCTCTCTAATACTCCACAGTGGTAGGGCCTGCTCTGAAGGGGCAAGAGGAGAGATCTTAATGCCAAACACTTGTCAACAAAAAAAGGGGTGGCCAGATGGTATGAGCTACAAACTCAAACTGCGGGCCGCTCCCACTCTCCAGGCGCAGTAACAAAAACCACTTTTATATACGCTGCTCCCAATAATCTCCCTCTCCCCGCCCCCTCCCTCTCTCTCTCTCTCTCTCTTAATTTCGCTTCAAAGATTAAACAGATTTCATCCCTTCATGACCTGGCCCAGAGATAAACCTGAGTCCCATGACTCCTGCCCAGCCGGCCTGGCTTCCTTAGAAGATGCCCAAGAGAGTTGCTGGGTTTTCCCCTTGACAGAGTGATATGGGCTGGCTCTATAGGAGCCCATTGCCTGGGGACTATTTAAAAGTGGGTAGCCTGTTTTGAATTCCAAAATTAAGTCGACACGGAGGAGTCAGGGGCTTGTTAATCCAAACCAGTTTATAAATCTTGCCCCTGGACTCCAGGGGCCCCAGCCGCCGGCCTTCCTCGGGGCTTTACGGTGCAGACTGATCCCTGTCATAGGGGCAGGGTGAAGTCCGCACACCCACACCTGGTTTTGTCGTAAATTCCCCTCGAGTTGAGATCCTGCTCACCCTGGCAAAAAGCTTGAATTCCACGGAGAAGGACTTATAGGAACAAAAACCCAGCTTGGCTACACACAGAAGGAAGAATAAAAGCACCAGGTCTGCAAAAGCCTTCAGAGTGAAGGCCGGTCCAGCCTGCAGGACAGTGCAGGCACTCAGAGGGGGAGGGGCAGCCCAGGAAGGCAGCCTGCCCCTGGACCCTCCTCTGCCTGTCCCAAGTCCCCAAGAACAGTACCAAGCAATGGTCTGCCAGGAAAAGCAAAATGGTCTCTTGCATACAGCGTAAGAACCAGCTTGGCTTTAGTACACTTTCTATATTGCAGAGTGACACGTTTGCAGACAGAGGGAAAGCCATGTGCTTTCTCAGCAGGCTCTGCGGCAGGACCAATCTTCCATCCCACCCCCCCCCCAACCCAAAGGCCACCTCCCTCAGGCCCTCAGAGCCACTCAGGCTGAAGGGACAGGCAGTAATTCCTGTGGGACCGCAGAACAGAAATCAAAGGCCACCCTCACCCTCCGAGGCACCTACAGGAAGCCTCCTGCCAAACTGCGGTCCAGGTCTGCCCCTAACTAATGACCCTGCGTTCAGGGACAGAAAGAGAAAAAAAACAAGGTCAGCGCACCCTGTCAAAAGCCACCCTGCCATCTAATGTGAAGTGATGGACCAGAAAGCAAGACTCGAGAAAGTCAGGACGGTTCCACAAAGCCCAAAGTCAGCCCGACTTGACTGAGAGGCTCAGACAAGCTGGTCTTTGTCCTTTCAAGATGAAAGAAAGGGATTGAAAGGTGTGTGCAGGGCAGGAGGAGCAAAGCCAGCCAGCTGTGGCCTTCCCAGGCAAGCCCCAGCTTGCTCCCAGGCTTGGGGGAGCAAGCAGCCCGGCTCCAACTCCCAGCAGCACCCAATTAGCCACCAGGTCCTTGTCTGAAAGACAGGAGGCCCGGTCTGGCCACATCGCCAGTCTAGAAGCATCAGGGCCCTCCTTGCCCTGGGTCTGCAGAGCCCTCAGAAGCCAAATATTCGGGTTCCTTAGAACCCGAATGCACCAGCTGGGACTCAGGGAGGGAACAGAGCTGGAAATGCCATAAATCCCCGACTGGAGCTCGGGTCCTGGCCGGCTCCCTGTCTCCCCACAGCAGGGCCGGAGTTCAGTGTTCATCTAGGTATTGACAGGTATGCATCTCCAGTTTTTCTCTAGTTTTTGCTCTAGGTAATAAAACATTTAGAAATGTCACGCAGCAGGGCACGGTGGCTTCGCATGCCGGAGATTCCTAAGTTCTGGGAGGCTGAGCAAAAGGCTCACAGGTTCAAGCTTACCCTAGGAACTTAGCAAGCTAAGGACAGCCAGTCTCAAAATACAAACAATGGGAAAAGAAGCTGGGGAGGTAGCTCAGTGTGAAGGCTTTGGGTTCTACTCTCAGCGTGCAAAAAAAAAAAAAAAAATTAATTGAAGTTAAAAATTTACACGAACAATGAAAACTCAGATCCCAGCTTTCCCCTTTCCCCCACCCCCACGCGGTAAACTCTCTCTCCCCAGGTCACAGCGGCTTGTTCCAGTGGAATGCAGGGGGCGCCCAAAGGCTCGTGCCACCGTGCTGACCGGCACCTGGCTGGTTTTCTTCACCTCACCCACGGTTGGAAGACTGATCTAAACCAGGGCACGCAGAGCTGCTTCCGTCTTCACCGGTATAATTTAAACTTTAAGTTACTGGGGCATCTCCACCGCCCACCCCGCAGACCAGGGCCTCCCAGGAACTGCGGGCCTGATTATCTGGAGCAGAAAGCATTAGGGCAGATCCGGCCTCCGGCCTCCGGCCTCCAGGTGACCAGCGCCGCCCCAGGTGACCAGCGGCCGGGCTCCCGCATCATTATTTCCAAGTTGACACAGCGCCCGTGGGCGTGTTTGCTGTTTCAACTCGGTTCGAGTTTTCGCAGCAAGTTACACAAGAAGAATGAAAGCGGCCCAGAAAACAGCGCTATCGGGGCGTGTTATCTTGAAAACCAAATATTTGATCCTGAGCCCTGCAGCGCGCGGCCGGGGGTGAGTTTAGCAAGTCCAGCGAGTGTGCGCGCGGAGACCAAGGGGGAGCTCGGGACGGCCGCCGTGGCTCCAGCCTCGCGCCCCGGGCTGGGTCCGCTGGCTCCGGTCGGGACCCGGGTCTCCCACCCGCCCCCGGCAGCGTCTGCTCCGAGGTCCCCGCACCATCCAATCGCAAAACCCCGCGGTTTGCGCGCCACACGTGATAAACGCTGAAAATGGATTCTGCCCGCCCGGACCTATCATTAAATATTTAAAATAGAAAGTTTTCAATGACAACGTTCCTTCCCCGGCTCCCAGCGAAGGAGCCCAGGGGTGGGCGCGGGTGGCCGGGAAGGGGCCCCGGGGCGCGCACCACGCCAGGCGGGCGCACGGCGGCGCAGGGACAGGTAGGGCTCGCCAGGGCGGGGAAGGGCGCGCGACGGGCCGGGAGCCGCCGAGGAAAGGCGGGAAGGCGGCTGCGCCGGGCAGGGCCCTTTAAATCCAGGTATCGCGGGCCGCGCCGGCCGGCCGGGGACAGCTCACATGACCCAGCCCTGCGCTTTGAACTGAGCCGCGACCAGGCCGGCGCCTCCCGCCCTAGAGATGCGGCCGGCGGCGAACTTCCGAGACTTAGGACGGTCCCCCCACCTAGTGTCCCCACCGGCCGGATGCGATCCCCCCACACACTACCTGGGGCGCGTGCCACTCGGAGTCCACTGGGCGAGGGAGGGGGACAGGACGGGAGGGGAGACCCTCGGGTAGGCGCTGGGGTTTTGCAAAGGCTGGGAACAGTAAGATGGGCGGGCTGGATGCAAACAGCGGCCCCTCCCGCCCCAGCCCCCGCCTGCGCTCACCGAGGTTGACGAAGCTCATGACCATGTCCGCGTCGGTGAGGAAGTGGCTGTCTTGCAGGCTGGCCAGCGGGGGGCCCTGGGTGCTGAAGACGGCCTTGTACGGGTAGGAGAAGCCCTGGCCGTCGGGCCCGCCGGCCTCCTCCACCGCCATGGCATTGTACAGGTCCAGCATGAACATGGGCGCGGAGTTGTGCTTGCCCTGGAGGTGGGGGCGCGGGCGGTGCGGCAAGCCCAAGATGGAGAGGATCTCGCGCTGCATCTCCCGCCGCTCCTGACTGCGGAGGCGCCGGTGGATGAAACTCGAGTGCACCTCGTTGTCCAGGCTGAAGTCGCCTAGGGCGGAGCGCAGCAGGAGCAGGGGCGCCCAGAGCGCAACCAAGCTGCGCGGCGCCGCGGCGCGCAGCGAGCGCACGTGCATCGCGCCGGCTTTACGCGCGAGGTGGGCTCCGGGCTCCGGGCTCCGGGCTCCGGGCTCCCGGGCCCGCGCCGCCCCAGGTGGCAGAGAGGGGCAGGCAGCGGTCCGCGCCGCTCGGTCACTTGCTGCACACTGGCCCCGCTGCGCCCGCGCCAGACATGGCCACTCCCCGGCCGGCTGCACTCTGCCCGGACCCCCGCCCTCTGCTCGGCGCTGGCCGGGGCCCCTCGGCCCGCACTCGCCCGGACGCACCGCGGGGCTCGGAAACCAGCTCCAGAGAGCGAGCGAGCGAGTGAGCAGGAGGCTGGCGCGGGTGGGAGGAGCAGCCAGCAAACCTAGGAGCCGGGGAGCAGCCGGGCGGCGGGCGGCGAGCGCTCCTTCCTCCGCTCCTCTTGCGCCCGGCCCTCGGGCGCCGGCGACCCGCGCTCTTCCAACCTCCGGCGCCGAGAGCCGCGGCCCGAGACCGTGCTTCCAGCCCTGCGCGCCCTCGATGGCACGCGAGGCGGCCTCGGGAGCCCGGAGTGGCAGCGCGCGCTGGGGCCGGCGCAGGAGAGGCGGGAGGACGGGCTTCCAGGGCCCCTCCCGCGCCGGCGGCCTCCCACCTGCCTCGGCCCCGCCCTCCCCCAGCCGTGCCCAATGGGTTCATTCATTCCTTCCTAGCGCTCCACAAATATTTACCGAGTGCCCACCGGGTGCCGGGTGCCGGGACCGACGCCCCGGGGACGCGGAGGCTGCAATCCGAGTCGGCCCTGCCCTCCTGGGACCCGCAGTCGGGGCAAGGAAAGAGGCCTGAGCAACCTGGGATCCTGGCCGCGGAGGGGAGGCTGGCGACTGGCGGAGGACGTGCGGGACCCGGGGAAGGCTTCCCGGGGGCGGTGACCCCCGAGTCTACTCGGGCCTCTGTGTGTCGCGCCACCCCATGCCATTTACTTCAGCCACGCGGACCCCTCGGCTCCCAGCCTGCCCCAGCTCATACCCAGACACCTCTGCCTGCAGTGCCCCCACTCTGCCGCCTCTGGGGTGGTGCCACTTTCTCCCCTGGGACCTTCTCAGACCCGCAGAGCCCAGGGCGCTTCCTGCCCTGACCCGCCCCGTGCACACCTGCTGAATCTCCTGGAATTTCTCTCACTGGGTGGCATTTCCTGGTCTTTATTGACCTGCGGCTCCCACTAGAGACCCAGCGCCCTGGAGGCCCAAGAGCCCCTCTCCTCCCCTGGGCTCTTGCACCCAGAGTGCCTTGAACCCAGAGCCTGGGACCGCAGGGCTGAGCAGTCAGTATTGTTGATCGCATAAAAGAAATCTGTGTGAACTGGGGAGCCTTCCCCACCTTCGGGGGGTGCTTTTGGGCCCTGTGTTTGTCCTGACCCTCAGCCCTCCCAAAGGCTAACACTCTCTGCTGTTCCCCCATATCCAGCTGTACCTGAGCAGTGGGCAGCGTGTCCTCAGGTCCAGTTCAAGGCCTACCCCTCCCTTTCAGCCTCCCCCATCTGTTGGTGGGGGGGTAATGCAGGCGCCATCATGCAGAGGCCCTGACCACTCACAGGTCCCCTCTCCCCTGTGGCTCGGGACTCTAGATGAATTGCTGCTGCTCTGAGAGCCTCAGTTTCCTCATCTGTAAAAACCAAGTGGGCCTCACCTGGAGTCTCCTGGATGCCTGTGGGGCAGTGCTTCTGCCTGTGCCCCTCGGTCCTGGGCTGGGCTGATGGGAAGCAGGGAGTCTGGGTGCATGGCGAGGGATGAGTTTGGGAAAGGTGCTTTGGGAGGCCCTTCTGGTGATGCCTCGCTTGGGGGCTGTTGGTTACCCTGGGTGACACAACGCACTCGAAGCTGTGGGGTCTCCTTCCGGACAACACGGCAGGCTTCGAGGCCCTGTGATAGAGAAAGGCATGGCCCAAGACCAGGGCAGGAGTGCTGGCCAGGGAGCCTCAGTCCCCTGCTGGACAAGGTCCTCTGAAAGCCCCCTGCAGCAGGCCTGCACCCACCCCCTCTTCCATGGCTCAAGGTGTTGGGGTGTCGGGAGATGGCCACCTGGGCCTGCGCCCTGCACAGCAGCACCCTGCCGTTCCTCGTCACACATCCGCCCAGCCAGTCCTCATTTCGCACCCACACAGCCTATCTTGGTGCCAGCCATGGCTGAGCAGGCGGACACAGCAGTGACAGACCTGCGAGGTGGCCTCCAAGGAGGAGTACGCAGGACAGGAAACTTCAGTGCAGCTTGGGGACAGGAGGCTGGCAGCTCCCGCCCTTTGCTTCTCCCCAGGGGATGGCAGTGTGCAGCAGACGGGACCCAGGAGCCCCTGGAAGGTGGCAGCGGCATCACTGCCGGTGTCCATGGTCATTCTGTCCTGTGCTAAGTGGTAATAAGGTGAAGGGGAGACAGGGAGCAGTGACGGAGGGCTGCTGGGAGCAGCACTGACCCTACCAGGAAACGCGTGCCACCCTGCCTCTGCCCCAGTGCTGAGTTGCGGGGTGAAACCTTCACCTCCAACGCCAGCGGAGATGAAGGAGGCCACCTCCTTCCCAGTCCAGGATGAAAGTGCCCTGTCCTGGCTGGTGTTAAGGGGTCCCCATCTTTGGGGGTTCTGCTGGCCAGAACATTGCTGTGAAACTGAGCAGTACCCCTGGCAGGGAGGTCCTGGGGGACTCTGGGGTCCCCACTCCCTGCTCTTACCTGAGCCACCTTGGTCTGGCACACAGCAGGTGCTCCATCAGTGCCCTAAGGGGGTGACTGAGGCCACTGCCTGGGCAGGCCAGGCGCCCAAGGAGCCTCCTGGGCCCCCCAGCCAGGGCCCCTCAGAGAAGCCAGCCTTGCTCCTGGGGGCTGAAATGACAAGGGCAGGCGAGACCTGAGAGATAAGGCTCCCTCTGAATTCTGCCCCTATTTAGCCTTATCTCCGGGTGTGCTGGGGGAGGGGCGCCTCTTTCTTCCCCTGTTTCCTTCCCAGGACTGCAGCAAGCCATCAGCAAAGGCTCTCACAGTGCATACAGAGCTGGGAGCCAGCGGAGCCTCCTCCTGCCAGGGCTTTCAGATGGGCTGGCCAAGGCCTTGGTGGCAGGTGGCAGTCTCGTGCTGGGAGCCTGCCCACCCCTTGTCGTCCTCGGGCTCTGCCACTTCCGCTCTGTGCCCTGGCCAAAGGATTTAACTCCTCTTTGGTCCGGTTCCCCCATCTGTGTGTAAAATATGGGGGGGGACTCAGTGCCTCACTCCTGAGGCTGTTGTGAGGATTCAGAAGTGAATTCAAGTCCTGTAAAAGGCTTCGTTTGCAGCCTGGGGGCACAGTCACCATCGGGACACGAAGCTGCGGTAATGGGAAGGCGAGTTTAAAGACATTTTGCAGAGAGAGGTGCTCAGCCCAGCAAGGTGACATTAGAGATGAAAGAGTAACCTGCATTCCAGGCCTCCCATTGTCCCCCAGCCCCCACACCAGGCCAGCCAGGGCCCAGGAGCTCCCCCGGGGGCCTCTCATTCCTCCAGCAGCCAGCCCCCCACCCAACACACCCCCAGCTGGTCCCCAAGCCAGGGCACCCAGCACATGGTTGCAGGGCTGTAATCGGATCTGGCCCTGTCTGCTGCACACCTGGGCCCCTCCGCCCGGATGAAAGAGGCCCAACATGGTGAGGGGCGTTATTGTGCAGGTGCCAGGGGGTCCAGGGCCGCACCCCTCACCGACCTGGCTGGGCAAGGGGTTTCTTGTTGCCTACACCACCGGTCACATCTCGAGGGAGAGATTTTGGCCAAGCCAGCATGCGTCTCCAAGGCGATAAAATGAATTCTGCTGACACACACATTGTTCAGAGAGTCGGGAACCTCATCTTCATCCCCAGAACTCTCACTTCATTGGCCCAAGGGGAAGCTCAGCTTGTTGTGGGGTGCCTGGCTCCGAAGGAGGAAGGTGGGAAGATCCTTCTGCGTACCCCACCTGGCCAAGGCCAGACAATCGGGAGTTCAGGCTCCAGCAGCAAATAGAGGCCCAAGGGGCTGCTCACACAGGCACTCCAAAATCCTGCAGAGGACCCTCTTCAACACACCTGGAGTGACCTTCTCCCGCTGCCCCCGGAGCTCCGGGGTCGTGTCCTTGCTCCTCCTCTGGGCACTTTTTTAAGCAGTGGCGTAGGAGACAACATCCTCTACTGGTCTCAAGCATATGCAATCATAGGCGCAGCCCCAAATGCAGAACACAGAGAGGCAGACACACGCACGGTCCAGGGAGAGCCGACAACACGGCGGAATTCTAGGGCCTGGCAAGCAGCTAGTGGAGGCCGAGGTTTTGTTTATTCCCATCATGGTTCCAGCATTCACTGTCCTTGACTCAGCTTTAGGGGGCGCCCTTTCAACTCCTCCTTCCTGGAACTGACACAGAGGCCCTGGCTGCTCCAAAGCCAATTTCTGCTCTGGCCTGTGACACCTAATGGGCTCTGCAGCCCGATGCGTGTCCCCCTCCCGTGGAGCAGCCTCTTCTGCGCCTCCTCTCTCGGAGACCCTCCAGACCATCAGTGACAAAGCCGGGATCCAAAGCCACATCTGTCTAGGCAGCCCGGGCCCTAGCTAGAAGCAGCCCTTCCTCCCTCGCTTCTCCACCCAGCTGGAGGAACCCCAGGATCTGTTAAGACGCAGGAAACCCAAGACTCCATGCTGTAACCTGTTCTCAGAGGCTGCTGCTGCAGCTGCCCCAATACCTGTTAAGGGGCAGAGCTCTAGATTCCTGAGGTCACAGTTAAGGAATTGTTGGAGGCTTCACGTTGAAAATTGAATAATCTGTTGGCCTGAAATTCTAAGAGTTTTAAGTAACTAGCCCCGCCCCAGTTAGGTTATAAGGCTTTCATTATATGCTCTGCATTTTTCAGATGAGGAAACAGGGGCTCAGAACCTGGAGGGAGCTTGCCCAAAGCTGCACTAACAGTGAGAGAAGTATAAAATCACAATCTCAGCGCAGGCTTTCTGGTTCTGGGACCTGAATCCTTCAAACTGGAGCCCGTCCAGACAGAAGGCTTGTGTATCCCTCAATGCCGGGGAACTTGTGCATAGCAGGTGCCCCACCAGCACCCAGAACATGTGCAGAACACATCAGCACCCCTCTGATGGCAGAAGTCACATACTTTACCGCCTAAGGCAGCAGCCCAGTAATCAACGCAGGGAAGCAGGACCCACCGGCAGAAGCCCGGGGAATATTTACCTTTCCTACCGAAGCAAGCCAGGAACCCAGACATGATGACAAGTGGCAAGTGACACTAGCCTGGATTCCAGAGGAGTGGGAAGCAGGAGCCCTGACTTCCATGGAGAGGCCATCCAAGAATTTGATTCCAAAGCCACCAAATAGTTGTGAGTTCGTGAGAAGCGGGAAACCTGGATTTGCAAGGGGAAATACAGCTACCAGTCTGATTCTGCAAGCCTAGTTTGTCCCTGGCCTTTCAAAGGGCGCTTGGGGTCTGAAGAAGTCACCACACCTGGGGAGCCAAAGGGACCC